TCTTTAGGCAACACTGTAAATACTACAGAACATTAGAAGGAAGAAGAATGGAATCACAGTTTGAATTATATCACTTATGAAAGGGTCTTAAGGCTAAATGCTGGATATATCTTATTGCAAAAAAAGCTTTATTTTTATTTAATTGAATCAATGCTTCCCACAACAATGTGGTCAAAATGATGTCAGATTGGAGGATACAGTATCCTACTGTGCCTCACCTCAAATTTCTGGAGCTCCCCCTGCATGGGACTCTCTCTGAAAGGTTTATCTTGATTTATCACAAGTGCAGCAAAAACACAGACTTTGTTATTGCAAATACACCCACAGGAGACTATGTGGAAATGAAAAATTCAGTAGAAGATGCTTTTTGCCACCTAACACCAGGACAAGAAAGCAGAGCTGCAGCAACCATGTGTTATGCTGCCCATGAGAAGAAGGATAGGCTCAGCACCTTTGAGACAGCCCCTGGTACCAGAAAAAAATAAATCCATCTATTCCACCATCTCTCTTGCAGGAAAAGCCACGATAAACACTACCAGGGCAGCTTGGCTTCAGAGATACTGTGAGCAACAAACACCAGCTTGTAAGTCTTATCCCCACCAACTAGGATAAAGCATTTTTCCAATTTCACATGGATTTCTCTTTCCTGACTATCGTGACCCTCACCAGATCTTCTCTTAGTCACACTATTTACCAGACTCACAGTATGAAGTTGAGGCCAGCTAGAAAAATCAAAAATCATGGCCTTAAAAGTTCAACAGTTAACAAACAAGACACTAACAGGACACTCAGTGGATGTCTACTGGGAAGATTTAAGCTCCCTTCTTGGACTGGAATCAATGAGGAATGTGCTTTTACTTAACAGAAATGCAATCCATAGACTTATCTATACACAGATATTATATATATATGTGTGTATGTACACGCGTCTGCACAAGCGTAATCATACACCTTGTTGTTTATATAGTAAAGACAAATTATGTAGTCAATTTTTTCACAGATTGGTTAAGAGTGATTGAAAATATATCAGCAGATAGTCACAGTAAGTATCTTGTTCAGTTCATTAAAGGGAAGTGCTGTAGAAACAGAGCATCGCCTCCGAAGCTGTTAAACAGGGTGTTCGCTGGGGCTCAGGGCAGAACTGTGGAAGAGATTTAAAGGAAGAATGGTGTTTTCAAAAGTATACTTGTAATACCAGACAAAAGTAATTGTATCTGAACAAGGTAGGGGGGAGGGCTGGGGTTTGCTTTTTTAATCCTTTTTCATGTGCTGCATATTTGTATTCTTTGTAGCCATTTAAGCATGAACTTTCAGAAGTTCCCATTTGACCAAATCATAATACAGGCTCCTTCCCTCAACTACCTTCTTTTGGCTGAAATTTAATTACACCATATAACCAAAATGGAACATATCATTGCTTTTAGAATGATGCAGGTCGTTTAGCAGGTTGTTAAATAGCAGAAGCACTATGCCAGAACACAGTTAAAACTGAGGCTTTGGTTTTTGTTTGGGTTTTTTCTTTATACCATCTACAAACATTTGCTTGTGAAGGGGCAGAGTCTTATTTTCAGAGATCCTTCAGTTCGGAACTGGAAAATAATTAAGTGAAAAGGCTTAGCCAACATGTAGAGAGGAACAAGAGAAAAAGGAAAAGCTGACAAATAAAATCAAAGAACTAATAACATTTATGATAGGTCCACATGCCATCCAGCCATAGGCATCTGTCTGAGTGTAAGGCTCAGTGGAGAAAGACAGATTTGTAACACAGGGGCTTTAAGCTACTCTTTAAAGGAAAAGTGCTGCATCAGCAGAGCCTGAGCACCATAGCACAGGTTCAGATTAGCCTGGAGTTCAAAGGAGTGGGCATGGATTTGTTCATTATTGAACCACTCAGTAGTCCAGGGAATCCAAACTCCAAAACTCATCCTAGACGGTATTTTTTTTCAAATTCTCTTACAACAAATACAGGTTGCTGAGGGATGATGTACTCTTCTACAACCAGTTAGTGCCTGACAGTTCAGAATAATGGACCTAATCTCAGTTACAGCTGTACAGGTCTGACTGACACTGACTCCTGTCAGGGCTCACCTGGAGCAGACACCCTGAAGGTGTCACTCTAAGGAGCAAGCAGAGTTTCTCTGCCATTTCATGACCATAGCAAAGTTAAATTTGGCCATAATCTTCAAAGACATTAGGTTTTAAGTAGAATTCAGGTGTATGTTACAATCTTTGAGGGCTTTATAAATAATACATGTCTTTATAGGCCATTGTAAGAGCCTGAAAAAAGCCTTAGAAAAGGACTGAGTTCGCCCAATCACTGTTATACAGGGTGGGGAGGAGTTTGGTATCATTCTGAGCATCAGGCTACACAAGGAGCATCCCAGAAAATGGGGACTTGTCTGCCTTTGTTCACAGGCCTGGGCAGTTATTACAATTAGGGGGCTTCTGGGGCTGGTCCTGCTGGGGTTCCAGGCTGGGCAATCAACAACAGCAGAATAACCTTTAACATATCCCTGAGGGCACACAAAAATATCACTGAGAAACAATTCCATTCAGTATCAGCAACAAAGGGCCAGTAACCTGCAACTGCACATTTACTTTTAGGTTTGCACTGCAGTTCTGGAGATACTAGGCACATACTTGGGAGGTTGTAAACATTTCCTCCCTTGTCCACCTGGGATAAGCTCAGGTCCATGTTTATCCAACTGCAGGTAAATGGGTGATGCTTTCACAAAGGACTTGCTAAGACCTTCAGCCTTTCAAAAACTTTATGAAGAAAAGTGTTGTGAATATCATGCTGGTGAGCAATTTGCCTGGATCAGGAAACTGACTCCAAGGCAATCTCTAAAAACTTGCTGGAAATCAATTACAAATCCTTGGGTATCAGTACACCTGGGGTTTACTTAGGTAGTAGTTACTGTCTAAGCAGACTAGAAAGAAAAAAAAATCATGACAAAGTTTCTCACAGAAACTGTGGATGGATGAGTTTCTCACAGAAACTGTGGATGGATGGGTTTCTGTGGCAGCCATGCCTTTGCTGTTGCAGGTAACTGCTGCCACTTACAGTGATTAAAGCACCAAACACAAACAGTGTGGCTTTGGTCAGAGAGTGCCTTCCTCAGCACTGCAAGTCTGCAGTGAGCAACTGGAAAAGACACCACGTACCACTGGAAAAACCTAAACATGGAACCAGAAATAGTTAAGGAAGTACCTTCTTGGTTTCAGAGCAACTCACCTCCCTGCTTGCCTTTTCTTGTGGGAGGGAAGAAGGTAACCTACAGGTTTGAACCTGAGAGTTGTTTCTCAGGAGTATTTAAATCCTTGGGTATGAATTCACAGTCTGTGGGCACCTCCATACCAAAGCAAGGAGAAAGGCAATAAAAGCCAATCCTAAACCACCTGCCTCTGGACTTAGAAATGGTGGTGCTGGCTTGGAATAATTGTTATCTTTGAGAGCAAGGGCAGTTACTGCAGGAACAGGTACAAACAACCACTCTTGACAGCAGGACCTGAGCTGGGAGCTTTGCACAGCACAGCCTCACCACTGTGCCAGTCATCTGTGGACATCCCAGCTCCCCAGGGATGTCTGGCACTGTTCTGCATTGCACTGTGCAAACATCAGGCCAGCAGAAATCATTAAAATTGATCGTGTTCCTTGCCTCTTCTGTACTAAACATGAACAAAAATCATCCCCCAAAAAAATCCTGTGTTTCTTTGTAAATGACTTAGTACCAAGGAAAAAGAACGAGACTTAACACACACAGCGTTAAGACCTGTTTACATTAAAGATGGAAACCCTTTAAAGTGTGGTATGGCACCATGCTTCTGAGATCTAAGCTACTGTTAAGCAGTGAACATACCAGATCAGTGGAGTGAATGTATTGTGAATATACACCTGTATCCCAAGGTGAGAACACAAGTCATGATACCATCTATGCTACCCTATATGAATAATGAAGACTAGTTTTGGTAAAGTGCTTCAATCTTCCTCTGAAAAAAGTTATGAAAATATAGGTTTTGGAAACATCTCCTTCTTTAAGAAGCAGATCTCTTTGTTTCCTTGCTACAATAGCACTTGCATACAGTAAGCACTGAATTTCTGCCTCTACTATCCATTTGCTTCCAAGCTAGATTAGATCAGGAACAATATGTCTGGATGTAGAGGAAAATGCCACCATCTGAAACTGTTAAAAATTCCATGAAAGCCTTTGGCTTCAATGAACATTATCAAAACAGAAACTTCTGAATAATAATTAACAAGAATTAAAAGAGCAGATTCATAGCAGAACAGGACATAAATGCCACAGTATATTTTCATTGGGAGGCAAATCTGCAGGACCTGTTAGTGATATTTCAAATATGTTGTGCTGAGGGCTGCTCTCAGGTACACTTCACACCCAACCCTCCAGCAGCTGGAGTTGAAAGCAGAAGTATCAAATGCTGAAAGACATCTGAGACAGAAGAGAAGTTTTTTGAAAAAACATAAAAAGGTTTGAAAAAAACATATCTTTGATTCAGTGAATGACTGTGGAAGATCCCATTTATTAACAGATCTGAAATACTGTGGCTATTTTTGAAGATGTTACCAAATGTAATTGTTTTAGCAATATGTCAGTTTGAAATTAAAAAGCACAATTTTTTTTTCATCTTATTAGCCCTTTCTTGACTACCCAAAAGAAACCTAAGCACACAATGAAATACATGTCTCCTACTGCTCTTTGCATTATTACAGCTTTATGAAAATATACTGTGACATCCAACGTGTTGTAGAGGTGACTGAGACAGTGACAGCAGCAACAAAACAAAAAAACAAACAACCCACCAAACACTGAAAATATAAGCACCCTGGCAAGTGCTTATTCATATAGGCATGACCCAAGCTAAGGACATAAGGCATGCTCCAAAAACCTCTGAGATCACCTGGGGCTCATGGGGATGGCTGCTGCTGTCAGAATTCTAATTCCAACATCCCGAGGGAGAGAAGGGGGCTGGGGGGGGGAATGAGGACAAAGGGAGGAAAGAAAAACTTTAGAAACTGTACCCTTGCTGTCAAAAAGGCTTCAAAGTCAGCTGCCATCTTGACATGAGGTTGCAATTCCTGTTACCATACCTTTTTAGACAGAGGGAACATGCTTAGTGAACGGATCCCTCATTTGTTTTCAAGAAAGATTAAATGTAAAGTGTTAGGGGGCTGTTTCTTTGTTTGTTGGTTTGTTTGTTTTTAAAAAGAAACACCTCAGCTAGCTCCAAACACGTCTTTTTCTGATTCTGGAGACTGGGGCCTCGATATTTCAAACAACTCCTGGGGTGACTGGGAGCTTCTTCTTGAGGTCAATATCCTAAGTATCTCAGCAAGCTGGTTTTCTATATTGGTCATTTTTGTGTTTAAAGCCTTGATGTCCTCTTTCAACTCATGCTTCACTTCTAGCATGGTGGCCTGAAGAGTCTGTTCTGGGATGGGATAAAAGGAATGCTTGACCTCGGTGAGGACCGGGCTGTGGTCCTGCGGGCTTCTCGTCTCCCCGGCGTTATCCAAGCGCAAGTCACTTTTTGTAATGCCACTGTCACAAGAGTCTGTCTTCTTCAGGGTAGCTTCTCCTGAAGCTTTAGTTCTCTCAGGTAAAGTCTCCATGGACTCTGCTTTAGAGACCTTGTTCCAGTCTTCACCCTTCCCACAGGCCTCCTTGAACTTGGCCCAGCCTTTCCGCCGGGGGTATTCCCCCGAGGCCTTGCAGGCCGCGTGCTCCGCCGGCGGGGCCTGCAGCTTGGCCTGGTCGGAGGCCGCGGAGGTGGAGGCGGGCTGGTAGGACACGGGCGTCGCCGGGCTCTCGCGGACCGTCACCACGCTGGCCTTGACCACGGCGCGAGCAGAGGATTGCTCCCCGACGGCATTGCCCTTTTCCACATCCAGCTCGTCCGGATCGCGGCCCCTCTCCGCCGCGAGCCGCGCTTCCTTCTGCTGCCTGAACCTCTGGAACAGCCGCCGCACCGGGTGGTCCGGGGGCAAGATCAGAGGCGCTTCGTTCTTCCTCTTCATCCTCTCCTCTTCTTCCCGCTTGACGTCGCTGATTTTCCGGAACACAATCTACAGGGGGAAAGAGATTTCACTCTGTGATTAACTGCACGCTTGTTAAGGGGACAAAGTTGGAGAAAGAATTGTTTGAAAGAATCTAGTTTAACTGAGACTTGCACAACCTCTGCACATTTATAGCAACATTTTCAAATGTCTTATGTTGTGTGGAACATGGTTAATTTCATTATTTAAGAGCAGACACCATCTGTCTTATAACACCAAAAAGAAAAAAAAAAAAAAAACCAGAAGAAAAATACTTACCGAGCTCTGAGAGTCAGAGCAAGGCAGTGCCATTGTAAATATAATGATCCCAGGAAGATACTTGTTCTATTTTGTGTTTAAAAGTGACTTCTTGTATTTGTTTTCCTGACTATATGGTTTAGTACCAAGTTTCTAATGTTACAGAGCCATTCCCATCAGTCTCATCTCAGAGCTCACTCACTGCAAATGATCTGATACTATTTTAGTGCAGCTTGGCCACTCGTGGTGCCAGTACAGCAGAGTCTACTCTGGACTCTTCAACAGTAGTTTGCAGAGTGCTTCTTGCCCTCCCTTCCTCCCACATATTCTTTTAGAAGCAACGTGCAGTTTAAGGATGCAAAGCTTGAGTCAATCCCAAAGCCAGGGGAGCTGCTCATGGCTTGATTACCTCAGAAGCTTGTAGAGCTTCATGCCTTAATTTATCTCTTTATTCCTATGCAAAAGAGAACATTTTTGCACAAAGAAGCATTAATTTTCCATCTACCCTCCTAATTATATCTTCCTGAGCCTCTAAGGCTAAGTGCTCTCTATAGGAGCAGCCCAAGGATCCCACAGTACTAAAAAAGGCCTCACAGCATCCCAACCTGTAGCCAGGCAAGGTTTCTTTCTTGCACGTGATGGAAATACATTCCCTTCAAAAACTCTGTGCATTTTACATTGGTATTGGTATTTTCCAGGCTAATGAAGAACCAATAAGTAGCCTAGTTTGAAAATGAGAGGTCCCCAAAGGTAAAGTTTGCAATACAGAGGGCAAAAGATGCAGCCCACAGCTTCTACTGAACACTGATACCTAATCCCTTTAGCTGCTTTGGAGAAAATCCACTTAAAGACCTTACACTTCAACGCAGAAATAACTTTGAGATTCAAATCATTATTAGGAAATGTGTAAATAAACCCATCCCTCTGTTGCAGACAAATTTAAATTAAGCTAAAGTTAATAAGACTTCTTCACTGGCACACACAAAATTAATGTTTCTCCAGACTCCAATGCTTCTTGACAGTTTTGTCATTGTGTAGCAGGGAGAAAACCATCTTAACAGTGCATCTTTGGAAGGAAGAAGTTGTCAGACTTGGCAGCATTTTCCTAAATACAAAAGAATAAAATTAGCAGGAAGGATATTTTATTTCCAAGCTGTAATTAGGAAACTAAATATGAGATAAGAATAAGAAAACAGGGTACTTGACAGTCTTTTTTTTTCTTCCCTCCAGGAAACTTACTCTGCAATGAGCTCAGTAGAAAGTGGACAAAGCAGTGTAATCCTTAGAAGTGAAAGACTAGCACTCACAGTGGGGGGAATTCAATGCAGTCCTGCAGGCTAATGGCTTAACTAACACAATGCCAGTTTCCCACTTTACCGGAGGGATGAGTGCCAGCCCAGTGTTAGGGCAACTGCCCCTCTTGCTCTGCTGGAGCCAAGTGATGCCAGGCAGGGTCCCAGGGGGTCACTCCAGCAGCATCCTGAGGCTGGCTCTGGGGACACAAAGCCCCAGCACACCAAGGCAGCTACCTGACCAAGCCAGGTCAATTTGTCCCTGCAAAACTCTGTGTCCCCAAGCCTTCCCTCTCCTGGGGCTTGTATGTTAGGTATGGATATCCACATCTGTGCCAGATGTAGCTAACAGAGCTCACTTTGTACATGAGCATGTTGTCCTGGTCTGACCTATGGATCAGGACTTGCCTTAAATGCTCAGAAGGGATGTGTGACTGACTGGTGCAGTGGTCACACTCACAGGGATCATCAGGGAAGGCTTTTCAGACCCAGAGGCCAGGATGCTTTGCAGAGTCCGTGTCTGGGCCAGCCACTGCTCCACACAGCCCAATCAACACTTGTCTGGAAAGCACTGGAGCACCTCTCACTATTTAATGCCTGGTTTTTGCAACATAAATGGGTAAGTTATGTGACAGAGGCTATCTCTGCTACAGCACCATGCAGGAGAGACAGCAATGACCAAGTCTCAAGCAATCAATCCCATACTCCCGGCCTGGCCCAGTCCATATTAGCCCTAGCCACTGCACCTCCAGCAGTTAGTGATCTCTGTGGTGGAGGACACAATGAATGTACCAGAAATGCAGAAAGGTGAGCACTGATAGACAAGCTGTTGGCAGCACTTATCCACCCACAGCCGCCACTGCTCTCCATGGCACTGCCTGGAGAGCCCCCCTTGTGGATGCCAGGCACACTTGGCCAGGGAGGAGCTGCCATCAGCCTTCCCACTGTGTGGTGGCCAGCCTGAGAGACCCAAACACACCTTCCCTGCTTTGCCTTCGGGAGATCCCACTGCAGCAGGAGCAGGTGTGCATAGAAGGAGATGTATAAACACTGCCTTTGCCATGGGTACTGCCACCACGCCAACGAGACCCCTGATTTCCATTTTCCACAAGGCCTTACACCAGCTCCAAGGGAAGTGCACCAGGGCAGCAGCCACTGCACGAATGCAGAAATGCAGCCCTTGGGTCTCCCACCCTGCCTGACATCTTCCACAGATACACATTTATGTGGCAAGCTGTGCTCACACAGTGCAAGTCAAACATACACACATTTGCCAGGGGACGTCCCTCCAACTCTTGGGTTGGCTCCTTTTAACTGACTCCTGAGACACTGGAGAAACAGCTGTCAGAGAGCAACTTCTCTTTGGGAAGCTCAGACAAAGCTGTCACTTGTGTCCCTTTCTGCAAGTTCCCCAATGCCGTATTTTCTCCAGACAGCTCCATATTTATGTTGTAAGCAAAAATATTATAGCTATGCAAAACTCAGCAGTAATTGAAAATGCATTCATAAACTCCATTTTGGATTTTTTCTGCCTTTTTTTAAGACTAAATGCTCCTCATAAATAAAAATACACATAACTTTAAAGTGGACTCTTTTCTTACAAATGCTAAGGAAAATACCATTTTCAAGTGGTTTATCTTCAGCAGCAGCCAAGTTATTCAGAAAATTTGGTTGGTATGCCAATGGATGTACACCTGCTCCCAGAAGCAGTAAGAGTACAAAGGAAAAGAAAATAGATTTCATTTGTTATGAGGAAGAGAAGTCTGGATCTACACAGAAATTTTCATATGGAATTTGATAGGGCTACAAATATGGACCTTAATCAAAGTTAAAACCCAAATATTGTGGCAGAGATCCCAAGCTAGCTTTTAGAACAGTCCCTCTTTATCTCTTTCTCCAAGCATTCATGTCTGTCTGGGAAGGGACAGAGCTTTATACCCTCAAAATCTCCTAGCCCATGTATCATACACTGCTCAAACACAGGGGACTTCACAAGTGATGCAATTCTCCAGAACACTGCACTCTTCAAGACCTAAGCACACAGGTCCCACAGAAAAAACCTAGTGGGAGCATTTTAACAGTATGTCAAAACCAAAAGGTTGACAAAGAACCTGAATTGAGATGAAATAACATGAAATTTAAACACCAGGCTTAAAGCTGCATATTTCACACCTCCAATCTCAAATCTCACTTCATGATTCTACTTTTATTAAAAAGGTGCTGAATCTTGTACGTCCACAGGGAAGTTGCCCAAGCTGCCAGAAGTTGGAGTATTGTGGAGGTATCAACCTAGATTTGCCAAAACCTTGAAAAATAGCCCTCTTAGGCACAGATTCTTGCAATTGTATGAACATTTAACTAAGGCATGCAGTGATGAGGACTCAATAACAATTTCATTTTTTGGAAAATTCACTCAGAATAGTGGAGAAATGCACTGACATGTCCTGGTGCACTCCTGCTCCCCTGTGTCCTTACAGGCCTATGACAGAATGTTCTCTGTGACCATATTCCTGCCTGTGCAGGAGTCCTGTCCAAGAAAGAAAGATGGGGTTACAACAGGCACTTTCCCCTTTCCTCAGTATTACCTAGTTGTGAAGTCTTAAGTGACTTTGGGTAAAAATTCTGCCTCTTTTGAATCATCATAGAATTTTCAAGTATTTCATTTCTAGAATAAATGTTTTTACAAATTAAAAGGGAAGTATTAAAAAATGAGGTAGACATAATTGAATACTTGGTTGTGAAATGGGGAGTACCCAGCACTGAAACCCAAGCATCATTTAAATAACAGAGTGTGGACATTATTTGTGAATATGACTTTCATAATTTCTTTATGATAAGACCAGGAGAACAGATGGCAATGTGACCCCCAAGATTAAGGCAGGCCATAGGATTCCTCTGAAGGGGCATTCCCTGGGAGGAATCTTGTTACCACTAGATTGCATCTTTTAGAAAAACACCCAATTTGATGGCAAAAAAGAATCCATCATGACATCTAGATGAAACATTGCTTCAGTTTTTTATTCCAGGCTAAGTTTCATTGAATAATAGAATTATAGAATCATAGAATGGTTTGGGTTGGAAGGGACCTTGAAGATCATCTAGTTCCAACCTCTCTGCCATGGGTAGGGACACCTTCCACTAGACCAGATTGCTCAGAGCTCCAGCTAACCTGGCCTTGAATGCTTCCAGGAATGGGGCATCCACAGCTTCTCTGGCTGGCAACCCTCATAGTGAAGAATTTTTTCCTATTATCTAATCAAAACCAACTCTCAGTCTGAATCCATTCCCCTTGTCCTGTCACTACAGGCTCTTGTAAGAAGTTCTTCTCCATCATTTTTGTAGGTTCCCTTCAGGTACTGGCAGGCTACAATGAGGTGCCCCAAATCTTCTCTTCTCCAGGCTGAACTCATGGGAGAGGTGCTCTACTATGTTGTCCACTGTCAGTAGCTGTTCTTGTCACGAACAGCCCACTGTTGGTTG